TAGCTCTGAAGCACCATTGTGAGTGAGTGTGGCTGCGGCAGAGAGCGACTGTATTGTTCCAAAGTAAAGACAGCTGCCTTTTTTGTCTCATTGAACTAGACACAGACGCTTCCACACAATGCTGGCAATCTACTGTGGAAATATGCTGTTTTGTGGGCCTGTGGGGAGAGGAGAAAAGCTGCTGTTTGATTTTTTTTTATTTATTTCTTTGTTCAAAAAGCTGGTTGAGTCGCTGCCACCGTGGGTAGGTTGACGTTTTTTTTCCCTGCGTCTTCCAGATCCATCTCCGAGGAAACAGCAGACGGAAGTTGGGAGCGTTTTGCGATGAGTGGGGGAAATGAGGAAAAAAAAGAAAATGTTAACATTTCCGTTTTTTGGTGGGGGAAGATTAGAGGGGGTGGGGGGGACAAAGGCAGGGATTATCTCTGCACACGCTACAATAGCACTACACACACAGCCTCTGCAAATGGGCCTGCCACAGGGTGCTTTGGATCACAGAACAAAGACAGGGTCTCCCACCCATCAATGCAGATCCTCTGTCAGAGTTAGCTAATAAGGACGACAATACCCAGCTGCCAGCAGCAAAGCAACCAGGGACCTGGAATTAAGGGTCATTATTTATCCTCATTATGGACGTTTGCATTGTTTGACCACTCTGCAGAGGAGAGTGTGTTCTCATTATCACCGTCCTCCTCCCAGGATGTTCTGTCATTTCAGTCACTCTACCAAGATGAACGTGTAATAATGCAGGCAATAAAAAAACATGCCATAAGTTTTCAACTCCTTCCCATTTCACCCTGCATTACTCCTGGAGCTCTACACGCTCTGTGAAGTCAATTTAACTGTTTTTGAAGTTGGTTTGTGACTGTTGTCGGAATTAATATGGAGTTGGAGGAGGGAGTAAGTTTGAGGGCAGTAAACTGAGACAGATGGAGAGAAATGGAGTACAGCATACGATGGTGGGATAAAACAGCCGAGTGAAGAGGGGGAGATAAAAGGATGGCGCGAGAATGAAAGGTGGTGGCGGTGGTGGGGGGGTGATGATGGCGGCGAGGGTGTGAGGCGATGTGAAAGCGAATTTGTCTGTGATGTTTTAAAATTCTGGAGTGGAAAGTCCCTCCATCTGTTATTGTGGGACGGTTCTGACTCAGTGATTTCTATGATTGGCCTTAATCCTGGCCGAGTGGAGAAGACAGAATGAAGAGCTTAAAGCAGACTGCTCTCACTCTGACAGGCTCCACTGGCCGCCGCCGCTGCTGCTGGGGCTCACTGTCATGCTCAGTCTGCTGCCCCCTAATGGATCAACTGCTGCACGACACTGCACCTCTCTACAGCACACTGAGCCGCTCTCACAGTGCTGACATTTTCATGTAACATAAATTTGTAAGCAGCCACGACATCCATGCACTCAAATTTTAATGCTCCTCTGTGATGATCGTGACTACATACCCACGGATGCATCATATCCATTTCGCTGTCTTTACATAAACAGGTTATTGCTGATGCGTCGTACTGATACTGCATGTACCAGTGGATATATATGATGTAGTTTATGGAGATGCTGTGTCTGGATATTTTATTCAACAATGTGCAAAGGACGCTCGAAAGCCGTTCTATATATAGACATCTTTTTTTTCCCATGGCTTAACATTGTGATTGTCACTGTTCACTGCAGCCAACGATTGTAAAATTTACTAAAGGTCTTCCCTGCTTGTGTTAGTCGCTTCGAGAAGGTTAAGTGACCAAAGCAGAGTCATTTCACAGTCTTTTGGTCCCCAAGGTGACTTAAGTGTTCCCAGAAACTGAGCTGAGGGGGTCATTTGGGCCATGGTAAGTACCTCGATTCAAGGCTGCAATCACATGTACAGACCGTGTCATGTTTTCTCAAGTGCCCTCTCAGTCAAACGCGCACGCTGTTGGGCTGTTCTGTCCCTCCAGATCGCACAGACGACAATAGAGTGGCGTGTCAAGTGCCCTTTAAGTTAATGTACAGCGGAGGGGGACCTAACAGGCTGCAGCAACCACGCAGACGGCCCTGGTGCCGAGTTGGCACTCACCGCAGCATGACGCTGTCCGTCCCTGGAGTGTTGTCATTCCCCAAGAAATAACATGACTTTGAATGATTAAACCGCTCCCCTCTGGAACACGGCAAGCTCAACAGTTATGAATATTAAAGATCCTAATCGCCTCATGCTGAGCTTTTCGTTATTTAGATTTTTTTCTCCGCTGTCCTCTTGCTGTGTGAGGGATCACAGCTTTTCACCAGCAGGGTCCTTTGACAGCTGAGACATCCCTACGCCGCGCCGCCCGCTCTTTGTAGAATTACACTGTCAACCAGCACCATTATGTACAGAGTTTGCATACATGACAGACTCTATTGTTTGTTGTTTAAGGCTGTAGACCTTGTGGAGGCACTTCCTCACGCCACTATCCATTACAGAGCTGTGTTTATGGTTCTTCACCTTGCCTGAAGGCTCGGTGACAAATGGCCCAACATGTGATGCATTTTGTGTCAAGGTTACAATGGCAATAGCATTGGAGGGTCCGTGCTCGTGTCTTCGTGGCCCTATATGCTGAAGTGTTATTTGCTGTGTTGTGTGGGCCTGTACTGAGCTTATCTGTGCTGTACTGTGCTGATCTCACTATGCTCATCCAGTGCTCTAAGCTGCTTGGGCTCCAGCCACTAGCATAGATGATATATCCCTGCCCCCCTCCTTCCCACATCCCTCACTCTGATTCATTGGCTGTTTGTGTTGCCCATCCATCTGGGCCAACACAGAGGAAGGAAAGACACATGAAGACACATGGCTGTTTTGGAGCACGGGGACTCCATTAAGCTGCTAGGGAAGAGATAGGGTCCCAGAGAAATGGAGGCCTACTGGGAGTGAAGGGAGGAGGAAGAAGCAGCAGGAGAAATGGAGAATGGAGAAAGAGAGAGAGAGAGAGAGAGAGAGAGAGGAAAAAAGGTGTGTGGGCCACTCAGAGGGAGAGAAATGGATTTTATAAAGGGACAAAGTAGAGATTCTTACTGACAGATTAAATGCTGACAAAAAGACTGTGCCATGGGGATGAAAGGGAGCGAGATCATAGATCACGGCAGAGAGATGAGAGAAGAAATGATGGAAACTGTCTACAGAGAAAAATCATGTATGTGAAACATGATATGGTTTTAACTTTTCAGACGGTGAAGTGAGATTATTGCTCTGCGTTTATCCCTAATTGAAAAAACGTAGCGTTGTTAGCTTCACTGATAGATTACCACTGTGGCGCTGCCCTTTGGCAAGGCTGACCCTCTTAAAACGAAAAGCCACCCAATTACTGTCTTTTCTAATGGACTCTCTGCTAATAATTTCAATGGACTAATTAGATCCATATTTCATTGTTTCAGTCGCCCATTGTCTCATTAGGAAATGAATGAAATCGTATCATTGTTGTTTAAGGCTTGTTCAGGTGATTAAAAGCACAATGCAACCGACAGAGGAACAAAACGGATCCACATTTTTTGACACAAATGAGGTTTGTGATAACACATCATGTACACACTCCAAATCATTATGATGCACTCGTGTTCCGGTACGACACACACATAAGGACGGGACTAATATTGTGTGTGTGTTGTGAGGAAGTGGAGGAGCAGTGTCGGGAGTGGGAGTTGTCCTTGGAGATGAGATGGGTGGAGCTCCGAGTAGAAATAGGACAAGTTTCACTGTGATGAGAGTTTATGTCTGTAGTGTGTTTTTAGTAGATAAAAAACCTCCCGTGGTTGAGGGAGCAGGGGGTCTTCAGTGCCGCTGCTACTGTAGCAGGGGTCTAAATAGGGTAAGTCATATTAGAGCCCTGGGACTGTACGGCTGATCACACTATTCTGGGACAGGAACACCAGCGCCCCCTAGAGGCCTGGGGAAACCTAGATACAGAGGCACAGGAGGGAGGGAGGGAGGGAGGGAGGAGATGCACTCTGGGGAACGAGAGAAAGACTCGAAGGCTTCACCATATTTGCCACTTGGATGATTTGCTATTTGAGAAGACAGTCGGAGATAAGCTACGTCATGGTAAACGATGTTGGACTATTAAAACAGTCATGGTGGTTGATGTCTTCTACATGTTACTTGCTGCTTTATTTGCATAAAGCTGTGGCTGTAACCTGAAGCTCACAATTTTACAACATCTACTTTACTTTCTTTCAAATGACAAAGACGGTTCACACAGCTTAAAAACTATGGTGTAAATGTAAAGATCAGTCCGTATGGATTTAGATTTATAGATCTTCTGCTGTACCATGGTTTGTTACTAGTTTGTTAACACGATGTCTCATACCCCTGACAGCTCAGCTCTCCGTCACACACATTTACACATCTCACCTCAGCAATGTGTAACACTCTCATCACATGGTCTTTAAATCTCCTTCATTTCATTCTGTATTTATGACCATAAAAATTCTCTGATGTTGATGCTTTTTACAATTTTGTGATGTCTATTAACTACTAAATCTATTTCAGCAATTACCTGCGTTACTTGAATTTTCAAACATTTGACAGCTTCTAACAGAACTGAAAACCTGGGGTTAGGTTCACCAACAGGCTGTGCACAAATATTTTTGGTTTTTTGGGGTTTGGTGCTCCCTCACAATACCTCTGCTCTGCGTGTTTTTGTGTTTGTGAGAAAGATTACACAAAAACCTCTGGACAGTTTACCAGAACTCTTGGTGAAATAAGTCATGAAGAAAATAGATGAAGAAAATCAGGCATATTTAGGGAACTGACTCGTATGAGTGAGTGTGTGTGTGAAAGTTGGTGCTGTTTGAATTTAAGGTGACTATTTGGTCTCGGCAGTGGTAAGTTTAGAAGTGAATTGGCTTTTACAGGGAACAAGGTCACGTCCCCATGTGTTTGTCTGTCCATCTGTTGGTCCATTCTTCTGTCTGTCTGTTTGTCTGCAACACAAATCCATGTCCTACTGACTCCTGACACTCACTCTGCTGCTTTTGTGTGTCCTTACAGAAACTGGCCAGGGAAGCAGAGCAGCTGCAGAAGGAACACGTATGGCAAGACGGTGTGACGGTAAAGTGGGACACCCGCTCTTTTCCTTTCTTCTCCAAGACCTCTACTATCTTTTCCTTTCCCTTTTCAGGCAAACTGGTTAATCCTCCCATCATCTGCCCATTCCCATTGTATTCCAATTTCCCCTCAGTGATTTTACCCTTTTAACGACAATGTGATCAGCATCACAGAGACAATGTGGAAGGAGAATGATATACACAAACGCAGTGTACACACACTATAACTGCTTACTTTATTATATTAGCAGCTTTCCCCCCATTTTGTTTCACAGGACACAGCGTGTTGGACATTGTATTTACTTGCATTTGACCTTTAAAACACTAGCGATCCGCTCTTGAAATCTAAAAGAGGAGAAATGGTATTACTCTGGTTTATGTGTTTTTGTCTGTGTGTTTGTGAGCCACCGTGCTCCACTGACTCTCAAATTTGCAAACACTCAAATGCTCTACAAACATGCATGCATACTGATGCACGCTCTCTCTCTCACACACACACACACACACACACACACACA